TGGCTCAGGAGGTGCAGTAGGGGCTTTGTTGTAACTTGGTTGAACTACTTGCTTGGCCTTTCTTAATTCATTAATTTTAAAATCAATTAAGGCTTTATCGGCTTCTAAATCTCTTTATGTAATTGAAGATGATTCTGCAGAAAAATGTCTTGCTGGAGGCTTAAAAGATTGACTAGGCGTAGGTAATTGTTCTAATTGAACTGTTGACTTAATTGGCCTATCAAAACTAATTTTAACCGTACCATCTAAATAAGGCTGAATATAATCTAAATCATTTAAACTACGTTGGACTGGCTTAGGGGGGCATTCAGTGGTTAAAAACCATTCTTTAGGTAAATTGACATCTGACCACCTAATCATTTTTCAAAATCTTTAAATCTAGCATCTCTTAAACTTAATAAAATTGCAGACTTAAGTCCTAATTTAGTTAAGGGCTTAACAGCGACTTGAACTAATCCTATATGTAGAAAATTATTGCCTTCTTGCCTATGTTTCTTAATTGCATCAAGATTAAGTAATTGGCATGTTTCATGTTCTTTTCCTAAGGCATAAACTTGTTCTACTGTCTTAATATGCGTAGTTTGCTTAAATGCATTAATTGACCATTTTTGCTTATAAATTTCTTTATTAGGGACTTTGGGTATATTCCAATCATTACAATGTAATTCTGAACTAGAAGACTCAAATTCTAAAACTTCTTCATTAACTATATCTGGAACTGGTTCCAAACTGGTTCTAGAACTAGAAGAATTAATTGAATTGGTTCTAAATAAACGACTCATTTTGCTTACGTGGAAAATTTAAATTAACTAAATTAGAAAGACTCTTACATGACTTCCAAAATAGAAAGACTCTTGGGTAACTCCTAAGACTGACTCTAAGGTACCTAAGAACCTATGGGCTACTCTCTCTCTCACCTTCTCGTGCCTAACCGCTCATGCCTCTACCTGGGACTTACTGTTTGGTAAAAAGGTCTCACCTTACGGACTTTTGAGAGAGGGGAACCTAAGGAATTAGATAACTAGGAGTAGGCTTGGAAGAAACTTTGGAGACTGACTAAATTAAAAGAAACTTTGGGAGACTTGCTAACTCAGAAAACTTAAATCAGCCACTTGGGCGATATGAGTAGCAAACTTAGACTCAACTCTTTCAACTCTTACGGCTCTGATACCAGAAGGGGACTAGAACCTATACTCTAGAAGAACTAGAATATAAAGGATTTTAACTAGTTATAGGTAGAAATAGGTGGAAAACTTGGACTTTGGAAAACTTGACTTTGTGGGCTTATGTGTTTAATGGCTTGAAGACTTTGAAGACTTGGAAGAAGAAAGAACTAGTTATATATATATATATATGTATGTATTGGTTACGTGTGTAATTATCTTGGTACATATATGTAAATATTGTTGTTATACTTTTATATTAATTATTATGAATACTATCATAATAATACTTATATATTTCTATATTTATAATAATATTTAGTTTCTTTGATTATTAAAGAAATATATAAAGAAGTTTTGTGTCGTCCACTTCATGCATGTTAAGTTCAAAAGTGAAGTAATCCTATTGCATTTGCAACACCTCCTGCTATTACATTTTATACCTGGTAGTCTTACATTCATTACATGCATTATCACTTTGAGTTCATCTAATTACTTTGCAAAGCATGAGACACCTCATGCTATAATTCTGGGTTGCTGGCAGCCTTATCTTGTTAATGTCATGCCAAATTGACAATATGCCATTTTGTTATAGCAGCCATAGGTTAGTAGCAACCGACTTTCCCTGAATATAAATAGGCCATTCTACAATTGAAATGAGAGTAAGAAACGAGGAGAGAGAGAGAGAGAGAGAGAGAGAGCTAATGAAATTCTTGGAGGAGAAAAAGAGTCTAGCTTGTGTTTTCTTAAACTTTGAGCTAGTTTTGGAATCAAGGTAGGGGGATTTTTGGGGAGCCTTTACATGGATTGATTTAATTAAATTTCGTGAACACTATATTATGCATGATATTATTATTTGATTATTATTGATATTGGGTGTTTACGTGTTGTTGATTATCATTATATTATTTTATTAATATTGACATGTTCATATGTTATCGCTGATGGCTGGAATTCCTGGGTTAATAAAAAAAATTTGGAAAAGAGGGTGATGGGAAGGATCTTTTGTGTAGTTGAGTCTGACCATTGTAGGGACCAAGTTCAGGCGAGCCCGTGTGCACAGTAGATTAGGATATCGACGATATAATTGTCGTTTGGGTGATTTGGGCTTGGAGATCAATGGCTTAGACGAGTCTGTAATGCTGCTGGGAATGAAAATGCAAAATCTCAAATTTCTGCCTCATTTTTTTTCCTATAAATATTAAAATCTAATCTTTTGTATTTGGTGTGCGGGATATATATAGTAATCGGAAGAAAAGTCTCATGAATATCCCCATAAAGGTGCATATAAAGTGAGTTAGATCATGTTGAGTTTCTTATCTTTGATTTTTAACAATGTAATTGGGATGTAGGAACTTGAAGAAGTGGCAGGCTGTGAAATTTATATGCTCCCAAAAGTTATAGTGTTGTTTTAATGATTGTATTGTTAATTTGTTTATTCGGGTCTTTCCATAATGAACTTGATCGATGTGTGGTTTGTTTTCAATGGAATAGAATGACCTGATTGTGGCCATAGGGGGTTCAGATCGAGAATTGAAGCTAGTGATTGGTGTCCCGCCTGCATTGTACGCACAATGCCTCCTAGTGTCAAGGAATTGAGAGATTATCTTAAGATGTTCTTGGTTATTAAAAAGTTGAGTTTATGTTACATTCCTGGGTTGGGCTCATACCTTAAGAGTAGTTATCTCTGCACTTAGAGGTCTTGTTCAAATCGTTCCTCTTTCAATATCGCTTGTATTTAAAATAAATAACAACAAAAAAATTTCTATGAAGTCAACTTGTGTTGCTACTTCTCTAACCTCTCACATGGCATCTGTTTTACATGGATCCCACAACATCATGAAATCCATCTTATGAGATTTATAAGATAAGTAGAGAAGATCACTCTCTCAAACCATATATATATAGAAAAGATCTGTCATCTAAGTGGGACCTATTGTAGGTTATGTCTTCAAACGTGGTCCAGTACGTTTGATATTTGAATCAACTAAGTTTGCTCATTTTCAAAGGTTAAATTGAATGTATCAAACTTGGTGGGTTAATTTGCTGATGTCATGATATAACATCACTCAATTATTCTCTTTCTTTCATCAATATCATGCTAGTAGTAGTGGTTAAAACTACCCCTAATATAATAGTTTATTTATAACCCAAGAAGATATTTTCTGGTAGAATAATAATTTCACAGAGGCCAGACCATTGAGACAGTGAAAGATTTTAGCAAAGCACATAGAAACAACTTAATTAGTAATTTACAAAAGCTTAATTAACGCTGCTTAATTTCTTAATGCATGCATTACAATATATAAGATACATACATAGTCAACCTGATGAATTCCACGTGGAGGAAGGTGCACTGTCAGATCATTTGACCTGCGCGCCTCCCAAGCTACAAAGAAAGCCTTAGGTCTAAACCATTACCTCCTTTGTCTTCTTTCTTATCATCTTCTTCTGTTTTAGAGGGACCTGCTTCTCCATGATGATCAGAGCTCTTGTCATCCTCAAGGAAGTCTTCTGGTTGAAATGCTGGTTTCCAAGCCCCAGCATCAGCAGCCTTGTCTTCTTCTTGCATCTTCTTCTCATCTTTTTTATCCTTTGACTCATGATTGCTTGAGTTGCCCCTCAAAAGTTCACGCACCTCCCTTGTACTTCTAATCAGAGCAAAGAATTTCTCAATCTTTTCCTCTTCATCCTCTTCTTCACTTTCTATCTTCCTTTTCTTTCTCTCTCCTTCCATGTTTTCTTCTCTTCTTAGTTTTTTGTGTGTGTGAGAGAGAAAGAGAGAGAAAGAGGAAGAGAGAGACACAGAGAGAGGGGGAGGAGATATCAGATATGGGCTAGTATAGTTTTTTTTCTTCCTAAAGATTACATCTGAACATGCTCTTTTTCTATGGAGTAGTGCCCATTACTTAATGTGGGAGTGAGTGTATGGGTTGAGAGAGAGAGAGAGAGAGAGAGAGAAGCAATGGACATCATTTTGTTTTCTTCTGCATTGCTTCTATTATTTCTTTAACTGGTTTTGTGTGTGACGGAGAAAGAGAAAGAGAATAGCTAATCGATTGCTTATGAACTCGAAAGTATGTTGCTTGACTCTTTATAAGTCGCTGCCGCGTTATTTTTTTAACAAGAAAGACTAGAGAGCCATTGATAAGTGTATCACACATTGACAAGAATGCCCATTGGAAACTCTGCATATTTTGACTCGCACAAGATTCCAGTAGTGTAAGAAACCAGTGGTACAAAGGTCAATTCACATTATTGGTTGGGCTTGCCAGAATAATTGTGTGCGTCATCCCCATAACGTAAGGTTCCACCACCAACTTTGTAGTGACCACAGTATCATGACATGTGATAATATGACATCTTACTGGCCCTTGATTCCTTGATATATTATGGGGTCATATCATGATGTAGTCTTTTTTGTTTTTAAACCCCAACAAGCAATCTTTTCAATGTTAAAAGAGATTATAAGTTTGAATCTCTCCTTCCCATTGATTGAAAAGAAAAAGCAATCTTACACTCAGAGCACTTTCAACAGTTAGCTCTTTGTCATGGCAGGGGGCTAGGGCAGCCACTATTCACGTGAATAGTAATATTGATTTTCAGTAGTTACCATGACAAAGGGCAAATACTATTCATTTTTTTGTTTTTTTCACAAATTTGTTTACCTAAGTAATTAATTTAGACAATATTTTTGGATAAGATTTTTGGGTTTCTACTTGTCAATGCTATTCATATCTCATAATTGGATAAAATTTTCAGTTTCAAATTTCAGATAATTGGTAGGTATTTATAGAAAAAAAAATTCCAGTATTTTTGGATATTTTTTAAAAAAATTTCGAATTTTTTTTCATATTTTTATTACAAAAATATTGGCTGCCGTTGGATTGGAGGAGAGAAGCACGATCAGAGTGCCCAGACAACGCCATGTGTCCCAAAGCCGTTGACGCATCGCAGAGCTGACGTCAGCGATGACATCACGCGCCTACGGTAAAAAAATTTAAACTTCGCACGCTGACGTTATCACTGATGTCAGCCCCCCTCGTTTTGGATCTCGGGCTCGACTTGCCCTTGGGCTAGCCCGTCTTCGTGGCACCCACCTCCAGCCCGGGCCAGCCTGAGCTGTTGGAATCGCTTTTTGTTCCTAAAATCCCCTAGCCCAAGTCCAGCCTGTGCTGCTGGACTTGCTCTTATAGAGAAGCGAATCAGTTGAGCACTCATGACTTCCTTAGAACATAAATTGTTAACTCAATATTGTATGCTAAGTCGTTAATGATTATTTGATTTAGCGACACTTAATTTCAGAAAAGATAAACAATTTGCTAAAATGATCAATGACTGAAACATATTGTATCGAATCCAAAAAAATACATATAAAAAGAAACATATTGTATGGCAATGTGAAGCAGCGCAGAGGCCATCTTGCACCATTGCTGACCACAGAATTTTCTGGATGGAATTCTGGAAACGCAAAGCTATGAAGCGAAGTATTAACACAATCCAAGTGGAAAATAATCATTAATTACATGATAAGGTAAAAGAAAGAGCCCCAAGAAAATAACTTATACAGAAATCTTAAATTGCTAGTCCTCTGCCCAGCGAACCCCATGTTTTGCCCACAGATAGTATGCTCCTACTGGGCCTCTACCCCCCAGCTCATACAGCTCCGGTGCTATATTTTTGTTGTCTATCTCATTCAGAATTGGGGTTAGAATATTCCATGCAGCTGCGAGCTCATCGCTTCTCAGAAACAGATGGTTGTCTCCATCAATGACATCAAGAAGGAGATGTTCATATGAATCAGGCACCTCTACATTGTACCTGCCATAGTAACGCAAACGAGCACTTTTAAGTCATACAAACATTGTAAACTGGAGCAAACCTGGCAATGCTATGCTAGAGTGCTTACTTATCCTTATAAAGTAAATTCAGCTCCGGAGAATCCAACTTGAACCCCAATCCTGGAATCTTATTGTTAACTCTGACTAGGATGGCTTCATCAGGTGTATCACGCAGAATCAGTTCATTGGTAGCGAGGTCGATGTTGTGCCCCATACGCTCACGATAAAGGTTTCCTGGGACACGATGAAACTGTATGCGTATCTCCACTCTGCATTGTACAAATTGTACTCAGTAAGAAGATTCTAAGTTGTCAAACTAGATTCTAGCTTAAATGTTTGACTAATGTAATGAATTTTCCCCACAAAGTAGTACTAAAATGTATGTAACCTGTGTTGGATGAGTCCCATGCCAGCTTTGATCAGGAACGGCACACCATCCCAGCGTGCGTTGTCAATGTACAATGCAGCAGCAAAATATGTGGGGGTCAGGCTGTTCATAAATAGATCAACCTTATCTCTAGTACTCCCTTTATATTGGCCAAGTATAACATCGCTGGGCTCCAATTTCCGGACTGATCTCAGAAGTTTGGCCTGAAAATAAGCTTGTCATAAGAACAACTATAGGCGCTCCATAGGAGTATAACATGCAGGCATACCTTTTCATTTCGTATATCTTCCCCATCTAGACTTATTGGTGTTTCCATGGCAAGCAATGCTATTGTTTGAAGTATATGACTGTGTACTATGTCACGAATGATCCCGTAACCATCAAAGTACCTTCACAAAAGGAAAAGAAAATAAGTTATCATGGCAGTTCTTTCTCAGGTTTTACTGTATGTACTCTAAAAGCAAGGATACAGCCATCAGGATTACCTTCCCGCTTGGACACCCAAGTCTTCTGATAAAATGACCTGCAACACAACTCAAGTGTTTTACATAAAATATATATACATATGAATATGTACACGCTACATATATTTCATTAGATGAAAAAAAAAAAAAAATAGAAAGATAAGTTACCTGTACATTGCGTATATATGTACGGCTCCACAGCGGCTCAAATACTAGATTAGCAAATCTTAAAACCGTGAGATTTTCAATAAGGTTCCTTCCTAGAAGATGATCAATCCTGAAATAAGAGACACTGTCAATACACGAATGGATGATGTCAATCTTCTGTTTGATGTGTAGAAAGTATAAACAGGAGACCTGTATATTTGTTTCTCTTCAAACTTAGAACGCAGAGACTGCGTCAACCGATGAGATGATAATACATCAAAGCCAAAAGGTTTCTCAATGATTACACGATTCCAGCCCTTCTGGGTTTGGGCATTATCAGCGAGAGAACATGCAACATTTATAAGTGCTTCTTGTGGCACAGAAAGGTAAAATATCCTGTTCGCTTCAGATTTTCCCTGAGGTAGGTTAGCTGTTACAGAATCAATTATCAAAAGCACCCAGCTAGTAATTTCGAAAGGCAAATAAGTGCTATTTAAGACAGAAAATATTTTCTTAATATCTGTGCATTCATTTTACCTCAAACCGCTTCATCAGCACATTGAGTTTTGACATCCCTTCTCTGTTGTCATAGCCTCCATTAATGTAGTGTGTTCTACTTAGGAAAACATCCATTTTGTCTCCACAGTTTTCCCTGAGAGGTATTTGTATGTCCAATGGTTAACTTAAAATGCAGACATCTTTAGGCCCTTCGAAAACAGATGCCATTAAATACAACAAAAAATAAAAAACTAGAAGGCATATCATGGAATATAAGGTGACACAAGAAGCATACTGATGGTCGACACGACAAGTCAAAGTTGAAGCGATCATGGATCTCAGATCTTCATCTGTTATATTCTTTCTTGAATAACCAAAGATACTTACATTCTGCAGTCAAAAAGTAAAACAATGAAAGAAGGAAACACTTTTTTACTCAATGAAATGTAGAACAACTTTGTATAACTTGGTTCTTGGCCAAACAGGATCTTCATTGTACATGCTAGAACCATATTAATCATGGATTGATGATAGTGTCACAACAGAAATGCCCATAATAATCTGGCTGGACAACGACAGCAGAGTCATCCTACCTCAGGAAGAAAGCCACTGTAATACAGCGCAAAAAGCGCTGGAAAAATCTTTCTCCTAGCCAGCTCACCAGTTGCTCCTATGACCGCAATGCAGAGTGAGGGTTCTTCACCATGCTCAACGAGAAACTTGGAGGAATGTGTTTGTGGCATGGAAGGAGATTCCACTGAAGTAGTGGGCACTGTTACGGAAGCATGTGGTTGGGAACTTAGCAATGAACTTTCTTCAAGTTCTGAAGTTATTTTCGAAGTTTGATCATTGGAATCTGCAGATACATCATCTAGAATATGTAAAGACTTCACCATGAAAAAAAGGAGAACAGTAATTGTAAAACACCCCGTTTTTATTTATTACTAGCCATCAGCCAATTTTAGAGTTGATGCGATATACCTTCATGTGATAAAGTCGAACCAGATTGATCTGTTGACTGATCTTTGACTTGATTTTTAATACTCTTATACTCATTTGTAGGTCCAAGTTTTCTCTGATGCTGTTGATGGTGTAAGTTCTCAAGTATCCATTGTTTTAAGCCACAAAATTTTCGGCACAAATGGAGAGGTCCTCCATGAAGCACAACTCGTCCACCCGACCCAGAACGGAAGTAGTTTGCCGGAGCCTACAAACAACCCAAAAAAGAAAGAATTTTTCCTTCATTAGAACAGATGACAACTAGCTCGGATGGAGCTGATAAAGCTAGAATAATATGCCCCCATCCCGAGTCCCTGCCCATTCCCACTTGTGGGATGAGCTTGGATGAGCTAGAAATAGTCAATGACACTGAATGAAGCAATTAAACACCAATACACACATTTTTATTGGTAATGAAAATTATACACAATTTCATCTCACCCCCCAAATCCCTCTTTTCAATCTCTTATTCCCTCTCGAATCTAATGAGACAAAAAATGAGAGAAAGAGGAAGATGGATAAAAATGTCATAACCTCAAAGCCTGAAGTTCAAACCATCATGACCTTACTCTATCTTCCTCACAGACCTGCCCCCCAAATTCAGCACTTTGGATTTTAGGAGTTTAAGACAAGTTAACTAACAAGACCTCACTCATGGTGCATAGACTCAAAATCTCATCACCCCACATCTATAATTAATTAGAACCCATTTACAAAAGTCTTCCTTTTCCCCTATCTCAGTTATAGCTTCAACTTGGTTGTCCAAAAAACACAAGACAAAGCAAAGCAAAGCAAAAGAAAGACAAATTTGATCATTTCCGTTTTTCCTTTTTCAGTCTAAAAGATCCAAAATTTTCACTGATTCTCACCCATTTTCCCAGAAACCAAACACCCCATTTCACCAAATACTACACTAAACACTATGCATCACTACACAAAGATTAAAAGTACAAATGAATATACATATTTGATAGTTGAGAGCTCACCCCAAAAGAGAACTGGTAAGCACTGGAGCAGAGATAGCTTGGCCTTGAAACTGAGGATGGTACAGATACAGCTGAAAATGACATCGACATCCTTTTGATCTGTTTACGAGCTCAGGCTCTACATTCTTTTGATGTTCTGTGACTGTGAGCTCTCATAGAAGAATACAGAGGACGATTGCAACCAAAGGTTTGTGGTTTTGGGTGCACCCGATAAAACTATCATTGACCCCGTGAGGTTAATCGATCGTTTGATAAGTTTTCATGGGTTAAAACCAGAAATGATTGGGCGGCGGGTGAGAAAATGGACGGTTGTGATGGGACAGAGAATGTTATTTAATCTTACAATCTTTAGATTTTGTTATGTACTACGTTATCATTGTGTCTATTGTCTGGGTACGTCATGTTCACGTACTTTTTATTTTTGTCGTTTCTTTAATACCAGGGGCTTTGTTCTTATCCAGAAAAAAAGGAAAAAAACAACAGAGGATTTGTCATGGGCTTCGTATAAAACCTTGTTTGGTTATTTGGGTTGGATTGGATGTAGGTCTTGAATCTCCGTGGCCCATTTGTACCCTACACTTTCTCATGGCTGCTATCATTTCCATTTGTTATCTAATTCCTTACAATTGACCAACTGACCAAGGGTAAGTTGGAATGTGGCAATCAAAGAAAAAATACACCAACCATTGATTTTAATCACCCAATATTTAGACTTCGCATAAACATGCCCTACATTAACATTAGTTTTTGTATAGAAATGCATAAAACAAGTTTACACAATAAATTCTTACAATCGCCTTTCATATATTCATCACGTGATCTGTAAGATATTCATTCATGTAGGTTCTTTTCGATGGATGGTTGAACTACTATGATGCATTTATTGCATTAAACATTTTTTTTTTCAAAAAGGGAAGTGCTTAGTACAATAATTATGAAAGAAGTTTGGTATAATCTGTGACAAACCCACATGTGATCATAGCAAAACAGAATGGAAAAGAAGGAATCTTTGGGTTTAGTAGCTAAATTTTCTTTGGTAGGACCAAAACTCAAGCACAAACGATAAACGACAAATCATTGGATAATAAACAGAGAGAACCAAAGAAAAGAAAAAGAAAGTTCCTCACCTAAATTAAATGTACAGTTGCCAACTCCAATAAAGAATGTATGCAAATATGTGGTACATGCTAATCCATCCAAAGTTCCTCATTACATTACTCAATATTATATTTCAATTAACAATTATAAATCATCCATAATTCATGAATATATACTCTGTTTTTTGTTGTTTGATAGTGACCCTCCACTAACACGTTCCTTGCATAACCTCCTCCCCTTCTCTCTCTTTCTCTTTCTCTTTCTCTCTCTCTCTCTTATAATCAATCCACTTGGATTCTTTACCAGTTGTAAATAAATCATCTTGAGCAGATAAGACTGGTGGTTGAGGCTTGTGAAGATTACAGGCAAGAAAAGCTCTTCTTTTTCCTTTTGATATAATTTTCAGAATCTTGCATGTTTAAATTCCAAGGCTTTGTTTTTCAAGGTAGATTTCTGGGTCTTTGACTTATATCATCATCTGGGTGTCTCATCAGTCTGATTCCAATTCGCGTTTTGGTTTTACTTTTTTGGGTTCGGATGGCTTTGTTTAAATCCAGTGTTTCATCTCTGTGGTTTGTCTTGGGAGCTAAATGCTTTTGGAGGGTCTAATACAATCTGATATCCACTTTTATTTGATCTTCATGCACTGCAGGATACTGAGTTTTCAATTTATATCCAATTAAAAAAATTTATTGTTTGTCAGTTAGTTTAGTTTCTGCCTTGATACAGAGCCATTTTCTCTTGTTGGTGGTGACTGCTGACTCTGAGTTTCTGGCCATGGGGATTTCTCAATTTTGCATTCGATGTGGTTTTTCTAATGAAAAATTGGTGTATGCAGTCTCATCCATAAAGATGCTTATCTAAAAGAAATGAAAACAAATGGGCTTCAGTCCTTTGATTGGTCTGACTGAACTTGATCGGTTCATCAAGTATTAAAATTGTAAATGCTGGACAGTTACTATTTGTTTATAGTTTAACTGTTTCAACAGTATCCATTCATATAATTGTTTAGCTGTTATATTATGGTATTAACTACTATGCTACGAGCTTGATTTCAAGGAAGAGCATTGATATAATGAATCTGTTAAGAATCGGCTTTCAGATTTTAAAGTAACCAATGAGTTTCATAGATACAAACTTTCAGTGGTGTAAACTCAGCAGGAGCTAAACCTAGAGAGGTTGCTGATTGTAGACCTAGACTTCTTTACTCTGATTATAGACCTAGACTTCTTCACTCATTTCCGGTTGTTTGATGCAGGTACTTAGATATTACTTCCGATTTGATGCTATAACACATTCCTCAATTAGATATTAATAGCTCATAAATGGGGTCTGAAGGGCCTTCAACAGTAACAATTCATGTGACCGGTTTTAAGAAATTCCATGGAGTTTCAGAGAATCCAACTGAGACTATTGTTAGTAATCTCAAAGAGTATGTGAAGAAGAAGGGTTCACCAAAGGGTCTGGTTCTTGGAAGTTGCAGCATTCTTGAGACTGCAGGACAAGGAGCAGTTGTTCCCCTATACCAGACATTGCGATCTGCTATCAGCGAGCAGGATTCTTCAAATTCCAGTAGAATTATTTGGGTGAGTTGTTCTCATGTCTGGTCCATCGCTTCTCATTTTTTAAGCTGGATCACACTTTATTTCAAGTTCCTTTCTTTCTGTCCTTAGAAGCTAGTCTGCTAAGCATATATCTAGTAGACTTTAAAGACCCCTACATATCTAAGAATATCAGCATGGTTCGGGTTCAAAACTTGGGACTCAAATTCATTTCTCATATCTCCTTTAAACAAAGTTCTTTTGATTTGTTCATATAGGAACTGGATACAGCTCAAAGAATTTATAGGAATTTGATTTCATGATTGGTTCTTTTCCATCTGGTTTTTCTATAATGTGAAAGAAAAATTTTCACAAAAACTTTAGAAAATAGTCATTATCAACATCATCTATAGAGAAAAAGCTTGTGCACATATATTAAAGATTTTACTAGAACTTTAATAAATAACAGAACTTTCCATCACATCTGTTCAAGAGCATTTCATCGCTACGATTGTAGTACTTGCGCAGATGTATTCATGTGTCATGTGTCTTACCCTTTCTTAATTTTAACCGTAATTATGTAGGTACACTTTGGTGTTAATAGTGGTGCAACAAGGTTTGCTATTGAGCATCAAGCTGTCAATGAAGCTACTTATCGTTGCCCTGATGAGATGGGATGGAAGCCTCAGGTTAGATAGAACTTGTAGGGGTTGTCTCTGATGAAATGGGATTTTATTTGACATCAGCTTCGAAGTTCTTCAGATTTTGTTAACTTTTATCATATGTTTTGCAGAAAGTCCCCATTATTCCTTCAGATGGTGGAATTTCACATATACGAGAGGTAGGCTGGGTGGCCATGATTTTTTCATTATATGCTTCCTAAAGATTTCAAGTATTTTCTCTTGCACCTCATAAATCATTATAATTTTTTTATGATTACTTGAAGAATACCTGCTTGAAGGACTGAAGTTGTCTTGAAAAATAGGTTGACTTTATACCTTAAATTTCTTTCCTCCATGATGGTTACATAACGGTTGATTCAGAGGTCTTATTTTGTATTGGAGTATGTGATTACAATGGTTCCTCATTTTCCTCAATCTTGAAACTATTTCTTCTTCTGATTGTGTGCAGACTTCTCTTCCTGTTGAGGACATAACAAAGGCCTTGGCAAAGAAGGGTTTTGAGGTGATGACCTCAGACGATGCAGGCCGCTTTGTATGCAACTATGTCTACTACCATTCCCTTCGGTTTGCAGAGCAAAACGGGATCAAATCTCTCTTTGTTCATGTGCCTCTGTTCTCGACCATAGATGAGGACACACAAATGCAATTTGCTGCTTCCTTGTTAGAGGTGCTCACTTCATTAAATTAGCAGTCCATCATCATCCAACCACATCTGTATGCCAAAGAGCTTGAAAGAAAAGCTAGTATGAAGTCGCCACGTTATTAAGGTGGATCAACGCTTCATAAATGGAAATGCTTGAATAATCAGGAAGTGTAATCAAAGCGAAACTGTATTGAAAGAACATTCTTAAATGATGTATTTTTCGTAAGTGTTTTCCAGCAGGTTCCCGTAACTTGCCGTAATTTTTCAATCCAGTTTGTGAATGACATCCCATTTTGCTCATTGAGCTTGCTAATACTTGTGTTATTTGCATCTCCTTCAGTGTGATACTATTGGATTAAAAGAAAAAAGTACGTAAGGTGAAGAAACTGAAATCAAATGAGTAGATTTGCCATATACCAAAAAACAGGGCAGGATCCAAAACAGAGCAAGAAAGTCAAAAGAGAGCAGAACAATTGCTTGAGTTGATAAGAAGAGTGGGAGAAAACCTTTCCTCTGTGGAGATAAGGTATGATGCACAATGAATGACAAACAAACCGCTACTATTTTCATAGTAATGGGTTTGGCAATTACTTGGCACTCAGGTGTTGCAATCTAGAATTGCCAAAAGTCAATGCTTTCTCTATTGAGAGATATATGTGATGTGGTCCTGTATGACCTATTATGCTAGATGTTATAATGCTGCTCTATGGTCCCCCGTTAGATGGACCAATCTAAAAACATCATTGAGCGGAGAAAAAAAGTGCATATTCCGGTATTATATAATGTTTAAAAGTATGTATTTCTCTTTGTTTGATTTCTCGAAAATTTAAGAAAAAGTTTTTGAAAGTCTGTCCCTCTTCATACAACTTGTCAACATTTCAACGAATGACTTGAGAATTTTTTTTTTTTTAGGTGAGACCCAAGGGTATCCACCGCCGACAGTAGTGACTAATCCCTTTCGCCGCGGGAGCTCTCCCAATGGAAGTAAACGGCTGGCCACAAAATGCGCTCCATTCCTATGGACGAGGATCGAACCCCCAACCTCATGGTTAAGGAATGAGATGAGCTACCACCACACCACATCTCATGGTTGACTTGAGAATTTTTTAATGAGTAACATTCATTACTAATGAGTGAAGCTCAATTTGTTTTTTGGTAACCATATGGACGGCCTCGAAATTTATAAAATTCTATGTAAGAAAGTAAACTTTCAACTTTTGGTTTTGTCATTTTATTTTCTTGCTGAAGTCTTTTCAACCCAGTTTCACCATAAGTCCAATGGTTCACTATAAACTAGCGGAGGCTGTTGCCTACCCACCCCCAGGCAGGCATATGCAGACATATGAATTATGACCAATAAGCTCTGGTTGTTATTTCTAGTATAATAATTTTGTTTCAGAATTATGATTTCATCTGCATTATGCAGGGTATGTTCTGTGAAGGCTTGAAGGATTTGACAAAGTATGGGAAACAAATTACAAAATTCAAATTTCCCTATTAATTGTTCTATTGAGGGGATGTTTAGAGAGAGATTACACGGTATAATCCACTTCAATGAAGGAATATTGAACAATGACATCACCTGGGAAGTTTACCTTTGCAAGGGGCCCGAGTAATAATAGTGTTAATTTGGATGAGACTTTGATAATATGTTATTGTAATGTATATATATACACATAAAGGTTATTAAATAGGTGGTATTTATTTTTATTTTTGCGCATCTTAAAACCACTTAATTGCTGTGCAAGGAGAAGCGTTCAATATTCTGCAGACTTTTAACGGCGGTCTTTCAAACTGCGGATAATACACTCTTTTGCAGCGAGTAGCGACGGTCTTTTTCGCTACTAAAACCCTTTAAATACAATGAATCCTCCAACTGTTACGAACGGTACGAAAACCGTCGCAAAAAATTAAAACATCGTTGCAACAGGTTTTTCTATCACATTTTCACTGAGAAATGTATTTTTCTCTGTGTTTTTGGGGTAGACGTTTGTTTTACTTCCCCTAAAATACCATGAGCAATTTGATAACTCATGTAAAAGCCACAACAAACTTGATTGCACCAATGCAACCCAACACTACAATATATGAATAACAAGCAACAATTGTTAAGTTAAGAAGCCGTAATGAAAGGCCAGCTGTGTTAGAAGTAAACTCCATATTATGTGAATATAATTTTGATGTTTACTAATTTGATTACTGAACACAACTTGGATTTAAACGAGATTGAAAAAGCACTAGATTTAAGTACAAACCCAATTTCTAGCTTATCTACAAGCTCTTGGATATTAAGAACAAAACATAAAAATAAAGCATTCTACTACACCATATACTACATATAAGAGACTCTTGGACTTCTTAATTACTTGTAATTTCGTTTAGAATAGCTATATTTCTTTTATATGTATCTCAGTTTACTTTTGATTGGTTAACACCTTTCGTTATCATTCTGTGGCAACATTTCTGGAGTGCCCCCCAACAAGCAGAAAACTGGTGGAATTGTAAGAGTCTGCACTGTTCCATATGCACTCCAGCAAATTGGATTTGACACGAATTTTCCTTGGGCAGGAAGCAGTTCCACTTCGGAGAGAGTGAGATTTGTGCAAGGCATGGAGTCGCTGCAAGCAAAATGCATAGGTGGGCTTCTCACATCATATGTACCTTTTATGTTTGAGTACAAAATATCTGATATGTGAACTGCAGAGGTTTGGTTAGGGCATTTCTTGGTGAGGCAATAGTACTGATCTAACAAAATCGGGTTTCTAACGGTGTCCATGTGAATGTTTTGGAATGTTACTCTTGACACAGACCCTGATCCACCTTGCCAAGTTTTGATTCGAACCCCATTGTCAGAGTGCTTGATGATTGAGTCCTTAACTGTAATGTTCGAAACACATGCTCGAGAATTGCGAATTCCAAGACTTCCAATGCTACATGGGAAGAAAGAGGATTTGGGTTGAGTGAATCTTTGAGAATAATGGAACTTTAGAAACCATCCATATGTGCTTTGAGGCAGTGGATGTACCTTATTCCATGACTTGGACCACAAGTAATATTCCTAATCTCCACATTATAACAACCTGCTCCAATTGATACGCAGTCATCACCTACATGAAGTATCAATAACCAAAGAGCAAGGTAAGCTTTTGGGAGATTGCACGATGGACAACAAATTGGAA